CTGTTCTGTTCTGTTCTGTTCTGTTCTGTTCTGTTCTGTTCTGTTCTGTTCTGTTCTGTTCTGTTCTGTTCTGTTCTGTTCTGTTCTGTTCTGTTCTGTTCTGTTCTGTTCTGTTCTGTTCTGTTATCCATACCAAATTTCAGCGAGATCCATACAGCCGTTCTGGAGACATTCTAACAAACATCCATCCATCCAAACATTCGCATTTATAATATTAGTAAGATAGAAACAATTAATTTCACATTACTCATGGAAAATTTCATAACAAAGATTTTTTTTTTGTTATTACTAATTTAATATGATAACGCTAGGCTTTTTTTTGCAGAATTACTTGGAAAAAGCAACCAGACTTTATAAGCCAATAATGTTAATTAGTCGGTGAAATTTATTGTACAAAATTACAATAATGTTTTAATTTTATATAATAAAGTAGCAATTTTTATTATTTTTTTTTATTTTATACTAACAAACTATCTGTCTACCGCGACTCCGTCCGCGCAGAATTAAAAAAATAAGTAGTGGCCTATATGATCTTCCAGACTATGTTCTATATGTATGCCAAATTTCATTGAGATCCGTTCAGCCGTTCTGAAGATACTTTCAAACAAACATCCATCGAAACATTCACATTTATAATATTAGTAAGATATAAATGTAAGATATACATTTATCGGATGTTCTTACGGTGAAGGAAAACATCGTGATGCTGCACATATCTGAGAAGAAATTCAAAGATATTTGTGAAGTCAACCAACCCGCACTTGGCCAGCGTGGTTGACTATGGCTTAATCACCTCTAACATAGGGTGGGCTCCGAGCACCTCAATGGGGACGTATAGTGAATTGATGATGATAATGATGATGATGATGATGAAGGTTTCGTCAATGGAAACATCTTTCATAATTATTCACGTGGGAAGACACGAGTTAAAAACCGTTGAACTACTGCCACGATTCTAGCATTAACACATCTTGTCATCTCTTTCTTTATTTATATATATAAAAATAAATTGCTGTTCGTTAGTCTCGCTAAAACTCGAGAACGGCTGAATGTATTTATCTTATCTTGATCTTGAAATGTTCGTGAAGGTCTAGGGAAGGTTTAAGTTGAGAAAAAATAGAATGATTGTCGGGAATTAATTAAGTTTTTTTTTCATTAAACGCGGACGGAGTTGCGGGCGACAGCCAGTCTTTGATAAAACAGTGACTGTATTAATGAAAGTAACAGCCGTGGAATTCGACGGTTATGTGTAAAACGTGCGTGTTAATAGTCTACTTTCCAAATGTATGCATTTATGAAACTCTGGTATATTTCCGTTGAACACTTTCGTCATAATTCACTTTGTACGTACTATCATTGTATAAGTTGATCTATACATTCTTCATAGAAGATTCACAAGATTGTTACCTTCGTTTTTTATAAATAATGAAGGCGATGATGTTATATTAAAACTAACAGTCATATAAAAAAATGAAGCCTATGTGCTGCAGCCTATGTGTTCTTTCAGACAGCGTTCTACATTTACAACAAACTATCCTAAAACTATCTAAATTATCCTTCAAGACGCGAGCTTATCACTATCTCAAAGGCCGGCAACGCATCTGCGGTACCTCTGGTATTGCTGATGTCCATGGGCGTCGTTGAACACCTCGGTGTTCCTGCTGCTCGTTTGCCCCCTTCTGTTATATTAAAAAATCTATTTGTTCTTCCAGACTATGGTCTACATGTACGCCAAATTTCATGAAGATCCGTTCAGCCTTTTTGAAAATACTATCAAACAAAATCCATCCATCTAAACATTTGCATTTATAATATTAGTAAGATTTTATCCCGATCCATGCAGTTGTTCTGGAGTTACTTTCTGACGAACATCCAATCATTCGCATTTATAATATTAGTTACAAGGAAGATTTCTTAAGATAACAATGTTAAGAAAAGAAAATAGATTGACGAAATTATGTTAGTACAAGAACCACGAAGTTTATTTGCACTTGATGATGATGATTACAAAGGATTTCAAGAATATTACAACAAATAAAGGTGAATTAGCGGATATTGTGACGTAAATTAGTAAATATGGACATGTTCTTTCGTAAACCGAATCGATAAAGAGACTCGATTACTTGTTAAGTAAACTAATCGACTTTTAGTAGCTCGTTATTGTGGTTAATGTATTTTGTGGTTGTTTTAATAATTAATATATTATAAGGTAAATAAATTTATTTATTATTGATATTTCACTTTAATTCATAAATACATGTTATATTTATGTCAGATACTATCAGTCGCCCGCGACGCCGTTCGCTCGGAATGAAAAAAAAACCATAAGTAGCCAATGTTCCCCCAGACTTTGTTCTACATCTGTGCAAAATTTCATTAAGATCCGTTCAGCCGTTCTGGAGATACCTGCAAACAAACATCCATCTAAACATTCGCATTTATAATATTAGTAAGATTGTTGACCCACCCCTCTTGTTACACCCTATGAATGTTTCTATAAAGTAAATAAGTTTATTTATGACGTAAGAGTATTTTGTTCCAGTGGGGATTGGAATGTTCGTGTTAATATTATCTTGTATCGCGTTCGCATTGTACTGGACATGGCGATGGCTTGTGACGTCACGACTGGAACCCCCCGCTCACCCAGGCGGGGTGCCATTGATTGGACATGCGCATCTTTTGATAGGGGACAGTATTTGTAAGTATTTAGTTCTACATCTAAGATATAATCATCAGCTCACTATACGTCCCCACTGAGGGGCTCGGAGCCTACCCTAAGTTAAGGGTGATTAGGCCATAGTCAACCACGCTGGCCAAGTGCGGGTTGGTTGACTTCCCACATACCTTCGAATTTCTTCTCAGATATGTGCAGTTTGCATCACGATGTTTTTCTTTACCGTAAGAACGTTGGATAAATGTACATATGTAAATCGGAAATCGAAAAACACATTGGTATATGGCGGGATTCGATCCCAGGACCGCAATTGCAAGTCAAGCGCTTGACCCCTGAGCCACGGACGCTCCTCTAAGATATAATAAAGGGTAAGAAACACATGTACCAAGGTCCAAGAAGAGATTGAAGGATTGAAAGGTAAGTAAGAAGGGAGTGACGAGAATAATGGCCGAAGTTACGATATGAGAGACGAGAGGGAACCTGGTCAGCCGATGTAAGATAAGGACATATACATGAAAATCTAAAATCCAAATTTCATGAGTCTCCTATCCACTTAGTGTTTAATCTGTTGATCGCTAAATAGAAATAAGCACTAAAGGTCTGAACTCATACAGTCAACCTACTGTTGTTACCGCTTGGATAACGCACTGTTGCCATGGAAGCTAGACAAAGTACAGTCAGCGTCATATAGATCGACACAGACAAGATATGCAAATATATAGGTACATCAAAAGTAATCAATTATATCGGTACAACAAAAGTCTTCAAATTAATAGATACATTCACCCTGCTCAAATACATCGGTACATACACAGCGTCAAATATATGAGTACATGCAAGATGCTCATAAATATCGTAGCAGCCACAGCGTCATAAGTAACGAAGCAGTCAAGATGCGCAAAAAGATCGTAACATTTGACAAAATTGAACTCTATCTCTATACACTTGTAGTACAATTTTGAATAAACTACTTGTGTTAAATTCATTTGACACTTTGCATCAAACCATTTTTCAAAATTTACTAAAAGTGTTCGACGCGGATGACAGATATTAGGTAGATAAAACCAACATCAAATTTAAGTTTGTCATCATATATTCTAGTTTGGTCTCGTGGCCTTACCGTTCGCCGCCGTTGGTACGTAAGGTCGGCGGTTCAAATCCCAAGCCACAATTTTTTTTTAATATTTAAGTTTTTAAATTGAATATCGAAGCACATGTAATTAAATTCTATCGCCGTATTTGCCTTGGACTAATGAGTTTGACCGTTAAAGTACTTTTCTATTTCAAACAAAAATGAAGGAGATAAAGCGATGCTATTGGCATGTAATTTTGTTTATTACTCATGTTTGTTAACTTGTACCGTTAAATATATCACGTTACCTTTTACTGATACTGATTATATTTAAAAAACAAAGAAAAAAAACTGAATGTCAATATCCAAACTACATCAAATTTTTGGTCGATTGCAATAAACATTCCAGTGTGCGTGGGCGCGCACACATGTAGATAACACTTGTACGTATAGTTTCCGCGCATACCATTCATAAAACCCGCAATGACAATCCACGCTCCGCCCACTCACTTCACCCCGCGATGGTCTGACCTAAAAGTCGTTAACTTTATTTAAATTTATTTCTACCCGACAGCGAAAATTATAAAATAAAAAAAAAATTGTCGAGTAAAATTTTACAATACCAAATTTTTACTGGTTATGAAAAAATAACCCTGTATAAATGATTGATAAAATGAAAAAAAAAACTAGCCTGAGATTCGAACCGGTAAACTTACATATTACGGCAAACATACTAGAATACTGCGCCAATCTAGTATTATATATATTGTGACAAGGCAAAATTTGATATTAGTTAATACGTATCTGTCATATTCGGCATGACAAACTTTTATATTTAAGCGTTATGACAGGAGAAGAAAAATATTGGGTTGCCCAGTAAGTTCGTGCCGCTTTATAAGGAAAATTGAAACCCTGTTCTCTTAAATTTTTGGAAATGTTTTTAAATTATATTGGTACGACTCTATACCTAAAACGTCTTTTATTTTTGGCTAAAATTTTAAAAATTAGTTTTTATCTCAACCAATGAAATGAAATTATTCACAATATAGAAATTTTTGTGACGTTTGATAATGGTGGAAATCCGAAAATGAATCCACTTCAGCTACAGTCTATTGTAAGCTTTATATCGAAAATCAGAACGAACTTTCCGGACAACCTATAATGTTAATACAAAGTGTCAAATGAATGTAACAGAAGTAGTTTATTCCAAATTGTATCACAAGTATATAGAGAGATAGAGTTCAATTTTGTCAAATGTACCGATATTTTTGCGCACCTTGACTGCTTCGTTACTTATGACGCTGTGGCTGCTACGATATTTATGAGCATCTTGCATGTACTCATATATTTGACGCTGTGTATGTACCGATGTATTTGAGCAGGGTGAATGTATCTATTATTTTGAGGACTTTTGTTGTACCGATATAATTGATTACTATTGGTGTACCTATATATTTGCATATCTTGTTTGTGTCGATCTATATGACGCTGACTGTACATTCGCTCCGAAACGATTAAATAACGAACTTCAACAATGTATAGAACTGTCAACAACTTACGATAAGTCACGTGATTTTAATTTTTCAGTTCTATACGTTTTTCAAATTCGTCATGGAACAGCACATGAAAAGCACAGTCCTTCCGTGAGCGAGTCGAATACCAAAAAATAAATAATAAGAGGTCAATGAATAGAAGA